GGAAGGGTAGGGCCCTTGACAAGGGCTCCCCAAAGTCCACCACATCATCCTGGGCCGGACCTAGGCCCTCCCCCATGTGTTCAGACCGAGAGTGCATCCCTCAAAGAGAATCTTGAAATAAGTTTTGAAACAAACAGACAAGTTACATTTTCTAATACTAAATCTCATCACCTCATGTAAAGGTGGGGATAATAAAATACATATTTCGAAAATACTGCTATAATCATATGATGCTTGGCCTTAAAGTCAGCAATCTGACAGCAATGTGACTTTGGGGAAATTACAAATTAAAAACACTGTTCCCTCTAGTTTCTTCATTTATGAAAGGACATAGCTTTATATATTCTCATGATTTTAAGAATAGTTAGGTTGTTTAAGACACACACACACACACACACACACACACACACACACACACCCACCACATCTACAGTCACATACAGCTACACTCACATATACACAGACACAAACAATAGTAATTTTTGTTTGGGGAAACATGGTCATGGGCTTGACTAGAAATTTTATGCAGGTTGCCCTCCCTTGGAAGGCATGCTAAAGAATCTGGAAAACCTAACATCTATCAAGGAAGAATGCTAATCCAGATTCAGGGTCCCCTGTGGTCTTGTCCTTTCATGGAGTCACCCTGACACAACTGGATGGCTTGCTGTTGATGATTCAAACATGTTGTGGCATAGTCCTCTCTTCTTTAGAGGCAGAAAAACGACCAATGACATCAGCATCTGTTTTGAGTGGTCCATGCCAAACTAACTGGTGAATATTTTGAACATCATAAATTTTACCCCACCCTTCTAGGAGCAAATGTACACTTAACACCATTTGTCAAAGTGGCTACACAATTAGGTGGGTGCTTCCATGGACTTAGCCAAACACACTGCGTGTCTGATATTAGCCTTCTTAAAAATGTTTGTACATTTGTCATACTTGTGTCTAACAGTTTGTCCTGATTCTGGTGATAAGTACTGTATTAGTCAGGGTTTTCTGGAATAGCAGAACTCATATAATGAATACACACACACACATACACACACTTTATTAGAATCATTTACAGGCTAAGGTCCAACTTATCCAACAATGGTGAGCTATAAATGGAAAGTTCAAGAATCCAGAAGTTGCTCAGTCCATGAGGCTGGATGTCTCAGCTGGTTATTAGTAGATGCTGGAATCCCAAAGAAGTGGACTCCCATGCCAGAGAACGAACAGACTTGCCAGCAAGGTGAGAGTAAGCGGGCAAAAAGCAGAAGCTTCCTTCCTCCATGTCCGAATACCGGCTCCCAGCAGAAGGTGTGGCCCAGATTAAAAGAGTGTTTTCCCTCCTCAAAGGTTAGACTAGTAGAAGTGGATTCAATCACTTCAAACCAAGCCAACATAATCTCTCACAGATGTGCCCTCCATTTCTTGATTGCAATTCAATCCAGATGTAGTCAAATTGACAACTAAGAATAGTTATCACAAATACCAAAATGCATCATCCTTTTTAGTTACCTCACCAATTCTGGGAATATGCAGTCTCCTAGTCAAAGAAGAACACTATCTCCTCTTTTCCTCATCCCCACCCTTTTCTGGTCTAAAGATGTAAGAAAGAACTCAGAACAGAGAAAGGCAGAAAAAAAATTCATTGTGGACAGTGGGATTTAAGTTCCATATGTTTTAATATACCACAATACTTTTCAATTTTTGTTCCATTTTTTTTAATGCAGAACCAGTCTTAGCTTCCAGTTGTACAAAAGGAAGTAGCAACAGATTTTGCCAGCTCCCAAGGTATTTTCCACCTTGCTTTAATGCAATCACCTAATAGCAGGGTCAGGGAAATAAGCCTATAGCCTAATAGTCAACACAACTGACAAGGAAATGCCAGTCTATCCTATTGTAGTTAATCCCAAAACTTGTAAGCAATTTTCCTAGAAACCACTCCCCTGCATGTTCAGTACCCTCCTTGCTGATATTTGAAAGACAAAGAATGGTGCCTCTTCGACAATACACTCCTTTCCTAGTACAATACACCCCTCAGCCTTCTTCCTTACCTATCACAACAAAGGCCACAACAGAACAATGCTCTCTTCAAACCAGATTATCACTAAACCCAAGAGAATTACTTCCTGGATATCCAGTGTACTTTGGGGGAACTAGATTTCCCAGAGTCACTTATTATTTGGTGAATTTATTCAGGACAGAGCTGAGCTGAGCACAAACCTAGAGCTGAGCACAAGGCAGACAGATGCCTTCCCATTGTTCTAATGCTACAGCTCCTTTCAGTCTTTTATTTCAAGACAGGGTTGTATTGAGTTTTCCAGGGGATTACAGGCCTCAGCTAACAGGCCCAGCACTGTTTGATAATCTTGACATCAGAAATGCCAAGTCTTTTACCTTGTCTTTAAAAGGCTATTTTCCCCAAACAGATCCCTGCATTGAACTTTTATTTAAATAACGTTTTGAATGCACTTAAAGTAAAATTTTCACTCTTGTTCTTTTACAGGCCATACAACTGAAGAAATCACATGTTGACTGGAAGTCATTTACCCTGTGAATTAGTGTCTGGTCTTTCTTCTCTAACCATAAGATAAGCAAGGCAATTTTGATGTGACAGCTGTACCTGGTCTGTCACTAAGCTCTCTTGATAATCTAAAACACCTTCTTCTAGGCAAAACCATGAACAGAATATGAAAGCTGAATCACTGTCCTGTTCCTTTAGCAAAACTGTCCAGGGTACAGTGGCATACTCCTGTAAGATCAGGACTAGATAGGTAGAGGCTAGGGGGGGGGGATAAACACAAGTTTGAGGCCGTTTTAGCTCCATAGCAAGACCTGCCTCAAGAATAATTAACCCAAGCCAGGCTGGTAGTACACGCCATAATCCCAGCACTTGGGAGGCAGAGGCAGGCAGACCTCTGAATTTGAGGCCACCCTGGTCTACAGAGTGAGTTCCAGGACAGCTAGGGCTACAGAGAAACCCTGTCTAGAAAAACAACATAATAATAGCAATAAATCCATTAAAATTTTAAAGTAAATTTCATGAAATACAGAATTTTTGACTGTTTTTTGAAAGAGAAATCAATAAATAATAATAATAAAAGCTGTTATCTTCACTTTCAGCAATGAGTGGTTAGGCTTAATCAGGCTCGGTCTCTAAGACACTCCCAGACTCAGAAAACCTGAGAATAGATTTAATGTTACACACAGACATTATGTAGCAAAGCTGGACATGATTCTATTTCACTTAAGGACTGTTGCGCATAAGATAATCTTGTTATAAAATTGACCCCTCACGCCCTCACCCCCCCCCCCCCCCCCATTTTTTTGGGAAAACAAAACTTTTGAACCTTTGCAGTATGGATTGAGGCTCACCACACTCCTACATTACCTGGTGATTACCTGAGTCCTACATTACCTGAATCTCTAAGATCACATTAGACATTTAAAAGTCTGATGTGATCTATGGTCCCTATTAAAGGCATGTTTTTGCATGTTTAGTTGGAAACAGCCCTCTCACATTTTAAAATAAACAATGAAAGCTGGCAGAAACCAGTATGTACCCCTAAATTACCAACAATCTTGCTTCAGTATCTTGTCTAGTCTGGTTTCTAAATGAACCTTGTATCTCCATGAGGCCAGAAAGCTAAGTGTATATTAGCACCCACTCCTAGGTGAATGTGGTATCTGATGGTACTAGGTTCAGGTGGTTCTATTAGAAGACCCATAGTTATAGATCACATGTAAGCAAATACATCTGTGAGGCAGTGAAATATGAAGCATATCCTGTCCACCTTTACATTCTCTAAAATTTACAATGTTTTTATATTAACTATTTTTTTTCAAAATGATCTTAAAAGTATTATGCAAAGAGGAGTGATTGCCATAAGAGAAAAAGGCATGGGCAGTAGCAGAAACACCAGAATGCCATTTTTCCAAATCCCAGCAGAGTGTTTTCTTTATCCCATCAATACCTCCAACCAGTGCCAATTGGTTAGGTCTCCATGGGATGGTTAATGAGGGCAACAATAATGAAGGCCTGCCACAACAGGGCACCTTCCAAATGCTATGACAGCTGAGGTCTGACTCAGGGCTGGTTATTTTTAATTTTTTCAATTTCTTCATTCTCAAGACTGGGATTTCTTCTCTGTACCTCAAAGGCATTATGAAAATAAAATTAAAGTTTGCTTTCAATTCATCATTTCCTACTGACTCATCTCCAGTCTCAACCTCTTTGCCTTTCTTGCCTATGAGTTAGAGACACGTTTCTTCATACAGACAGCTATATTAGGGGGAAGGCAGTCGCATACACATAACAGCTCATTTTAAGATTCTTTTTTTATCACATCTATTATTCTCAGTAGGTGAATGATAATCAAGTATATGTAGTTTGTTTAAAAAAATGTTCACAAACAATGTATTCACAAACTAGAAGTAGCCATTTCCTTATAGAAAAGTGGTACTCAAGAGAGCTGTCCCTGCCAAAGAGACTTGAAAAGGATGAACTGCAGAGGAAATTCCACGGTCAGATATCCCCTGGAGAAGAGAAGGTACTGCATGGCATGGCAATTCCGTTACGCAAATGCTCAAAATCTCTTCAGAATCTGGGTTAATTAAGTCTACAGTTTAATTCCTGTCCCCTTAACTCACAAGAGAACTATACACATTTGATAAACAGTTATAGCTGCTTTATCCTCATCCCACTTGATTAGTTATAAGTACTTATCAGAAAACTATAAGTAGGTGGCTTTGTTGTCTGTTTTGCAACTTAAAAATGTATAATTCACCTTAACAACAACAACAAAAAAACAAGAGTGACATCTGTCAGTTTAACAGAACGTTAGCTCAAGATTTGTTTTTTTGTCTTATTAGAAATGAAGGTATTACACAGCAATGCTTTAAAAACAGCAGAATATAAAAGATGTTTTTTTATAACAACAAACATCAATATAACACGAAGATAATCTGTGTTCAAGACCAAAGCCAAAGGCCTTGATGTAATAAGAAATGGGCTAGTTCATTTTCATTAAGGTATCTTTCACAGCTGCTATAATGTGTCTGGCACTGATTCCAAACATATCCAACAATTCGCTAGGTTTTCCACTTCGCGGTACTTCCGTTACTGCAAGCTGATGAACAATTATGTCAGGCTCTCTGGAGATGACGGCACACACAGCTTCCCCAATGCCACCTTCTCGGTAGTGATCTTCCACTGTGATGATCCGGCCACCTGTATCTTTGGCACTGCAAATGATGGTGGCGGCATCCAGAGGTTTGATAGTGAATGGGTCAATGACACGAATAAAAATGCCTTGTTCCTCGAGCCTGTCCGCAGCCACTAAGGCTTCATGTAGAGTAACTCCTGCTCCGATAACTGTCACCTTGTCATCTGCACTGTGGCGGATCACCTTGGCCTGTCCAATCACAAAGCTTTCTTGGGAAGTATAGAGAACTGCAGTTTTTGGCCGGCTGGTCCGAATGAAACACATCCCCTTGGTGTTGGCTGCCAGATAAACAGCATGTTCCGTGGAGACAGCGTCACTTGGATAGAAAACCGTGCAGGTGGGGATACTTCTGAACATGGCTAGATCCTCCAGGGCCATCTGGGAAGGGCCGTCTTCTCCAATAGATATGCCGCAGTGGGAACCAACGAAGTTGATGTTGGCTTGGGAGATGGCCCCCATTCGGATCTGATCAAATGCTCGGGTCAGGAAGGCAGCAAATGTGCTAACAAAAGCCACAGTTCGTCCTCGTGTGGCACACCCCAACGCCACACTTACCATGTTTTGTTCAGCAATGAAGCACTCTATGAAACGCTCGGGGTGCTCTTTCTTGAATATCTCAGAAAAAGTCGAGTTTTTTGTGTCACCGTCTAGAACAATAACTCTTTTGTGAGTGTGGCCCAATTTAGCCAAAGCCAAGCCACATGCTTCTCGGGTGGCCACCTTGTCACCCGGTTGGTAAACAGGCAGAGAGGTCATCTTTATGTCGGAGATGGTGATTCGGGGTGAATCTTCAACAGGGGGCTTTGGTGTGAGATTTCTGTGTGTTTGTATCTGGCTCTGAATCAACTTGACAATCCCATCAGCATTATCCTTCGGCATGGGCTTCCCATGCCAGTTTTCGGCATCCTCGATGTTGGGAATACCCCGACCCTTGAAGGTCTTGGCAATCAGGGCGGTAGGTTTGTTCTTGACTTGAGCTGCTTTCCAAAAGGCCTGGCAGAGAGCTTCAACGTCGTGACCATCCACCAAGAAAGTATTCCATCCGAACGCTTGGCAGCGCTTCTCATAGACGTCCAGGCAGTGCTCTAGGGGTGCAGTGCCGCTTTGTCCCAGGCGGTTCACATCAAAGATCGCCACGAGGTTGTCCAGGTTGTAGTGGGAGGCAAAGGCCAAGGCCTCCCAGACCGAGCCTTCCGAGGACTCGCCATCCCCCATGAGACAGAACACGCGGTAGCTGGCCTTGTCAAAGTACTTGCCGGTGTAAGCCATACCACAGGCCGCACCCAGGCCTTGCCCAAGGGACCCTGTTGCCACATCCACAAACGATAGCCGAGGGGTGGGATGGCCCTCCAGGTCGCAGTGGATTTTCCGCAGGTTCAGCAAGTCAGACTCACCGAGGCAGCCCACCTCCACCCAGGCCGCGTAGAGGATGGGTGCGGCGTGGCCCTTGGAGAGGACGAAGCGGTCGTTGTCCGGGTGCTCCGGGTCTGCCTGTTTGTACCTCATGGTGTGGAAGAAGAGCACAGCCATGATCTCTGCCGCGCTGCAGCACGATGTGGGGTGGCCCGAGCTGCTGGCGCACGTGGCCCGGATCGAGTGGATTCGCAGGCGATTGGCCACGTCTTGAAGCACCTGCAGGGTGTCCGCGTCCACCTTGTCGCCACTGGCCATGACCAGAGAGGCTTGGTGGCCAAAGAGCAAGAAAAGTAGGACAACGCCCCGAGTGTTGTCCCTTCACAACCAGCTCAGCGACCGTTGAGGAAGTTTGTGCGTGCGCCACTGGCCTGAAGCTGCGCATGCTCAGCTGCTTTGTTTTGCACAGGGTCACGTCGCCTCGCCTCGCCCCGCCCTGCCCCACCCCTGGATTTTTAAACGTTTCCTTTTTCACTTTCAGATTCAGCGCTATTAAAAATAATTAAATATCACTTTACCTCTCCTTAAGACAGAATTTCAAAATGGGATAGATGTTCTCATCCGCGTATATTATGCCTTGGCAAAAAAAAAAAAAAAAAAAAAAAAAAAAAAAAAAAAAACACAATGCGCTTTCACCTAGTTCTACATTTCAATTTTAAATGTAATTTGGTTTTTACGTGTAAGGGTATTTTGTCTGGTTGTATGTCTGTATACCACTTGCATGGGAGGCCTTCAGTCCGGGAACTGAAGTTACGGGTGGTTGTGAGCTGCTGTATGAGTGTGGGGACCCAAAGCCAGGTCATCTGGAAGAGCAGCCAGAGCTCTCAGGAGCCCAGACATCTCTCCAGCCCCTGCTGTGTCAGTTTTAAAGGGCACGTTTATTCACAAACATAAATAAAAGGAGTGACAGAAAGGATTCTAAAGTCTGACGAAGGAATGTTGAAGTTGGACAAGTCCCCCAAAGATCAGCTGAATTCTTTTTAAGTAAATAATTTAAGAAAAAAATGAAGCCTTTTAGGCTAGGGCCTCAGAAGAGAAGATGGACATTAGTAGGGGAAATACAGTTTCTGTACCAAACCAAGCCGGGACTGGCAGGAGAGCAGAGCATGAAACGATGGAAGCTTGTCAATACTTCGGCTGAAGAACTCCAATCCACGTAGCTGTTGAGCTCACGAGTATAAACTGAACTATGAGGCAGCGTTCTAGCGGGGGAGGGGTGAGAGAAATCGCAACTACTTAGGCATTTCTTTTGAATTCCCAAATTCTTCCATTCATTTAAATTGTGGCCCAACATTTTCTAAGGTATTAAAATTTTGACATTTGTAAAGGTCAGTTTTCTTAAGCAAAGAATTTGGTCTTGAAAATTTAATATTCCACATAATGAGTGTGGATTTCTCCTGCCATTCTGTGGTAATACATGGATATTTTTAGTAGTGTATAGAAAATAGCATTTCCTACATTATTTGTAAAATGTTTATAAATTGGTCTGATATTTTTAAGATATCTGAGAAGCTTATATATAATATGAGTTAATAATTCTTTTCATCAGGCCTTTTAATATGTTAAAATGTATTTCAAAGTACACAGTTAATGACCATTATTAAAGTGTGAAGCATGCATCACCATTTAATAATGGAACAACCAATATGGCCATAAATATCACTTAGGTTAAAAGTCAACAAATACATGATGAATCCTTTTATTTTACCACTTTAGAAGAGTCTGTGGATGGATTAAGATCAACCAGGAACTTTTAGGACAGCATTACAATAATTTGATTGTTTTGGAAAAGAGTGTGTGACTCACATTTTAGAGATTGTTTGGAGTTGGTCAAAGGTTTCTACAAATAGGAAAGTGTTCTTTATTTACTTATGCTGATGTATCAATACAAAGTGGGGACCAACAAACTTGAGTGGTTTTGGGTAGCCACAGGGAGCTCAGGGATGTCAGAGACAAGATAAGAGGGTTGGTAACCAGCAATGCATGCCCAGTGTGCTGCACAGTGAACTGAGGACCTCAGAACATCTGTTAAACAGTTAAGACAACCCTGGAGGTGGACAGCTGCAGAGATGGTCAGTGGCCAAGAGTGCCTACTGCTCTGCTAGCAGACCAGAATTCAGTTTCCAGCATACAACTCCCTGTAAACCCAACTTTAGGGGATCAAATGGCCATTTCTGGCTTCTGTTGGCACTACACTCATGTGCACAGCCAACATTCAGGCACAGATACACATACTTCACAACAAAGTGGTGTGGAAAGATGGCTCAACAGTTACGAGTGTTTTCTGATCTTCCTGAAGAACTCAGGTTCAGTTCCCAGCACCAACATCACATGATTGCCAACTGGATGTAACTTCAGTCCCAGGTGATCTGATATTCTCTTCCAGGAATGCAATAACACCCCTCAACATGCACATGTATACACACACACACACACACACACACACACACACACACACACACTTCTCTGGGTCAGAGCTGTTGTCTCTACCACTCAGGAGGCTGGGCTTGGAAAGTTTAGGGGTTGGAACCCCTGAAGTGTTACATCTTGTCCTTGTCCAAACTGCTGAACGTTCTTAAAGGAATCTCATAAAAGACACAAATGGAAGCTGCTTCTGCTTCTTCCATTTGAATTCCATTAGCACAGGAGGCAGAGTATGTGGGCTGGGCAGATCCATTATAAAACATTAAGATTCCTCTTATGGGGGGGTGGGGATGGTACTGATATGCTCTACTTATCTTTCTGGATTCTCACTTTGATTATTATTGTGGACATTACTGTTATTTCCCTCCCCAATTTTGCTATAGTTCATAACTAATATTTTAAGGTATGGGATGAATAGGCCAGGAGAAGAATTATAGCATATGTAATAAACTGGGCCAATCTACCAGCAGCAAAGGATAATTTTAACTGGCCAGCACACAAATCCCTATTCCTTTGCCAGTCACAGGGACGAGCTTGTGTTCCTGTTCTAGGAAGGAAGAAACACAAGTCTGCTTTGCAAGAAAATAATTGTATGAAAAATCTACTTTTTTCTAATTAACCTAACTTGACAGTTGGCCAAAGATTTCCCATGGAAATCACCAAACAACCCAGGTTATAGACTGCTCTCCATAAACTGATGGCAAAGCCCCATTGCTGATGACAGCACTTACAGGACTCAATGAACCTGGACATGCTGAGCTGGTGCCTACATAGAGCCTTCACCCCTATATATATTCTAGCATCTTTGGCACAGGAAGTTATTCTGCAAGCTACCAAAAGAGAAATACAAACACAATCTCTGTCATCTACAATGTGTTCTGCTTCCAAGATATGCTCTCAATGGTGACACAAAGCTTGTGAGAATCAACAACCAATATCTGATTTGACTTATGGCCTTCTCCACAAGATGGAAGCAATACCTGGCTCTGCTTTGGTGACCAAGGACTTGAGACTAGATAACCTAGGGACATAGGGTAAAACCAAATACTACTGGTCTAAAACAGAAAAAGAAGCTATGGCTCATAATGGCATTCGGCTATACACATAGATCAGTGCCTTGTTTAGAAATCATCAGAGAAGCTTCCTCCCACAACAGATGGGGTTAAATACGGAGACCTATGGCCAGACATTATGCAGAGAGTTAGAGATCTTGGAACACTCAGTGCATTTTCTTAATTAGTGATTGGTGGTGGAGTGGGGACACCCTGGGCTAGTGGCTGTGGTGCTATAAGAAAACAGGCTGAGCAAGTCATGGAGAATAAGCCAGTTAGCAGTACTCTCCCATGGCCTCTGCATCAGCTCCTGCCTCCTGGTTCCTGCCCTGCTTCAGCTTCTGAAGCTGATCTCCCTCAATTGTTACCTGGAAGTATGGGAGAAATAAACCCTTTATCATTATTATTATTTCTAATCAATTAGCTTTTGAAAAATTTGGAACCATATTACAGACACCATGTATAGGAGAAACTCAAATGCTAGACTGCCACAGCCATCTCCCATCTTACATGGACGGGTGCTATAACATAAAATTTACATATATGTATACATGTGCAGGCTGAGTAAGCATATATAGTAGTGACACTTCTTGAAGAAATGTCCTTTTCTCTATTTCTAAATAATAATCTTGAAACGGGTCACAACAAATGTCTTAAGTCTAAAAGTAAATAGTGAAAAGTAATAAAAACTAATAATATTTTTAAATCTGAATTCATATATATAGTATTTATATCTGATTATAAGTTAGTATGATCAACTTCAAATACATCTGCAAGACATTTTAATTCACACTATAAATGCTCTGTCCAGGTCCACTACATTCCCTGGCTTACTTAATATCTCCTAACCCTTAAAGCAAGTTCAGTTCTCAGTGGAGATTTCATTTTGTCTAAAAAGATATTATCAGGTTTGTTGAGTTATAAGTTGAAAATTTTAGTAACCTTAGCCCATTTAATCAACATTCTAATTAATTTTGGCAAATGTTTGTGTTTACTTAACTACCATCATAAAGAAAACTGCATTTCCATTTGATAAGTTCTATTCTCCTATCCCTTGTGGTTTCTGTATCCACTTTCTTCCCCCCTTGGACCCCTTACCTGATCCATTTCTCACCTCTGAGGCTCTGCCCCTTACTGCCCGGTGTGTTTGCCTTCTTGATCAGTTCCTTGGGTGGCTTCCTCACTGTCTTCAAGTCCTCATTCTGTTCTTTTGCAGTGTCCAGTCTGTTGAGTGTCTCAGCCATGGGATTTCCCATAGAAATACTGTGTTTTACTCTCTTACAATGGGTTCTTCTTTATATTATTTCCCAAACATAACCTGTCTCTTCATCCTCTTAGCATATTTATAAAAGCCTTTTATTGAAAGTCTCTGTCTTCATTTCTGTCTGTCTAGATGTGTTTGTATTAACTATTTTATTTTCTGGTAATGAATGGCGCCACCTTGTCTTTAATGTTGGATGTTGTCTGGGGATTTTTTTTTTTTTGCTTTGTTCTTCTAAGAACAGTTGGACTTTCTCTTGCAGGCAACCAGGTTGTGTTTTAGTGACACTGGAGTCCGCTTTCCTTCGGTGTTAGGCTAGCTTTTCTACAGAACATGCCCTCTCCAGGGTCTCTGTGGAAAGTCCCACGTGACCATCAAGAATTCTGTCCTCCGTCTGCATTTTGCCCTGTGTGAATTCTGGGAACTGCTCAGGTATTACTGCTCTCAAGTTTTCACTTGTCTGGCCTTGCAGAGGTTAACTTCACACAGAGTAGCACCTTAACACTGTGTGGAGAGCT